CATAACCACTACGCTACATGTATAATTCAGTGACACTGATGACCTGCTTGGAGTTGTCCAACCATTCCCACCTTCTTTTCTGAGTTGTTCCTTCTCCATGAACATAAACTCACTATTGACCTCCTCAGCCCCCACCAATGTTCTTATAGAATCTTTTGAGATGTTGTTGTCCATTTGATCCCTTGCAGATCACCCACCCACACACCAGATCATTCTAAAAATAGCAAAATGCTCAAGGCAGATTTTTTTCTTAACTAGTTATTTGGTTTTAAGATGATTTCAAGGCATATTTTGGTTTAAGGGTTAAAGATTATCTTAGGGCAATAGTTTGAGGGATTCACCAGTGCCCCTGGGTTCAGAAAGTCTGGAGTCTATGACATTTTGAAATTCTGTTCTGCATTTTCCTTTTTAATCAAGATTCTTGTATAGAATCTTGGATTAAAATGTTCAGCAATGGTAGTCAGTTCTGGTCTCAAGGAAAATGAGGCAGTTGTTTATGGAGATAACTAGCTACACATTCTACTATCCTCCTCCTATTCCTGACTCTCATGTTGTTCCAGGCAAACAGAAATCACTTGTGCCTTGGATGTCTCCTTGCAAACCTTTCAGACCACAGACACTATGCAATGCACTAGGAGGCAGAATAGAAGTCCTCAACACATGAAGACAATTCATTGGAATGTCCCATGAAACCATGACCCTAAACTTCCAAACCAAGAAACCAGATCCCATGAGGTATTTGATTGTACACAAGCAGCCTCAGCAGCTACTATCCCAACTGTTTGTTCTTGTTGTTGAAATTCATTACACAACTTTTGTCAGCTAAACTTTTTATAAGTGTACAACTTACTGATCACAACTACAATTAGTTGTGCAACCCTATCCTTAATCAATGTGATTTTCCCCACATTGTTAGCCCCTTTTTTTCTTCCCTCCTTCCCTCCCTCAAACTGCCAATCTTCTGGTTAGCAGCCCAATGCTTAACCCACTGTATCATCAGGGATCCTTACTATATTCCAGGCACTGTGGATGTAACAGTGATCAACTTCATTTAATTCATGTGTCAAATGGTGTTTCAAAGTCATGGCAGTCAAAACTGCCCAAGTCTATAGGTGCCAGATGTTTTTGCAATCACATGTGTACAGGGAATATAGGATATGGACTCATTGGATCAATTCTAAGAGTATAGCTTTTAAGTACCAGCTTTAAAATTACCTCCTCTACCAAAATTTGCCAAAAGTAGCTTTCTAAATTCAGTCTTTTGACCTAATCCCTGTTTCAAAAGCTGCTTTTCTTCTCCAGTAATTTTTGCCCCAAAAGACAACTACTGTTTTTTGTTTCTGCCCCACGATCATAAATGGCAAGACTTTAATAATACAGGTTTATGTATTTTAAATTTTTGAGACAGAGGGGGGCTATATTCGCCTGATTCACTGTCTTTGTCTGTGGGTCAGATTCAGGCCAGAGGCTTCTATCAGGGTGGATTTGGCAGGTAAAATGGCAAGGTGCTGAGGACTCCTAGGATCAGGAGGCATTACAGCAGGCCAGTGGCTCAAGTCCAAAGAACCAGAGGTCAGATGATGAGTCAATCACAGGATTCGGATCCAGCTGAAAGCAACAGGCCCTGCCCAAGCGTCCAATATATTGGAAGTAAGCAGCCCCAAAGAAAACCTCCTTTCAGTTGACTGGTTGTTCACAGCAGCTCTCATCATAGGGGTGATCCCATTCTATTAATTTCATCATGAAGGATGACTATATCTTAATAGCTAAACCGCTGAGAAGTCTGACCCAGCCAAGATGACACAAAACCTTAACTATCATACTCACTTATACACACTATTGATTTCTTAGCAGACCACAATGCTTCATTATATCCTATTAAGTTTAGAGCTGCACACACACAGAATGACTGTATCAGACAGGATTATACACTCCCACTTCTGAGCTGTAAGAGATTATGGTTATGTGCAATGATAGTTTTATATATTTGTGATTCACGGAAAGTCCTATTTCAAAAGACCCAGTTTCATTTTTTAAAATTTACATTCTTCCATAAATACAACGTACAAAGAATTACAAGTTATTGGTGATTATTCCTAACAACCAGCCATGGACTTACGACATTTTATTAAATCACCCAGATCTATAGTGAGAGAACTGAGATCAACATCTAAGCCTCAATTCCTCCCCCACAGTAATCCAAGGAGGACTCTGGGGGACACTACTTTAAAAACTGTTTTGTTTTTAAAATAAAACAGCAAGAAAAAGAAAATATCTGAGTTTTTTAAAGGGTGATACCATCACCTTAGTAAAATGTGTACCTAAAATGCAGCTGGCTCAGAGCTTGCAAAGACAGAGTAGTGACTAGGGGCTTGTTCACTGTGTAGAAGGAAGCCTAGGCTGTGTTCATCCTTTTTTAAGTACAACGCAGAAAATTACTCAGACTGCCCCAGTGACATTTTTCCTGTTGTGTTTTACCTGATGTGAACATTCTTTTGTCTCTTCTGCTTAACAATGTCTCCCTCTACCCCAAGAGGGAACAATGAAAGGGTAAACTATTTATAATCACTCTAGCTAAGATCTTACAGCATCTTCAACACCCCACCCCCTTATCTGAGGCTTCACTTATAACTTGCCTATTTGCTAGTAACTCACCTAAGTTTCTCTTTTGGTCCTCAAACAGGAGAAAGCAGGAAGAATATAACCTCATCTCTTAAATACAATGTGACCAATGCCATTGTCCATTTTGGTTCAGTTATTTCTTGAGACATCTGTGTGGGCAAGAAAGATTGTGTCTGCTATGGCAGAAGTCAGAGGAAAGATGATTATAGAAGCTGAAGTATTTGTTCAACGGTTAAATGGCAAAAGAACTACATTCTCCCAGACATTTCACTGTTGTTTACCCACAAGCAAGATGGAAATAGTTAGCACCACCTGTGTTGCCCTTATTTCCATGAAAGCAAAGGTTAGAGGAATGAAGATTGTCATCTCAGTTAAATATCATCTGAACTCCCGAAGTACTAAGGCAGCCAAAAAGGGATGACTAGTTGGGAAACCTGGCTTTGTTCCCTGACCCAATTTGAATCAAATCAGACTTAATTTCTAGTCTGAAGTCAGCTTCAATTCAACAGCTCAAATTAGTTGTTTTCCAAATGATGCAGGAGTTGTAGGGTAAAATGTGCACTTGTGTGCAACACTTTATTCTAGCTATCACATCATCACATTTTATCTACACAGAAGGTATTAGTGCACCTTATTCAAAGAGGGCAAGGTGACAAAACTCAGGAGCGACGAGTATCTGAACCCAGGTCTGTACAACTCCCAACTGATACTCTTAACTTCGTTTAGCTGTTGCTAACCAAGAACTGGATTTCTGGTGTGACGTTGTAGTATAAGCACTGGACTGTGAACCACAAGGTCAGCAGTTCAAATCCACAGGCTGCTCCTCAGAAACACTACACAGGGTCATTATGAATTGACACTGACTCGAAGGCACTTAACAAAAGAATCAAACATTAGGTTGGACAAGTAGAGGTCACCACACGTAAGGCTGGCCTTTGGACAAGGGGAGACCACCCTCTCTCTGATACCCAATCATCATGCTCTTAGCTTACTCTACGGATTTCTAGCATTTATCTCTACCTGAACTTGTATCTATTCACGTCACAAGTACTAGCTGTGCTTCTCCATATCCCACCCACAACCCACTGCTGCTGAATCGATAAAAGGGTAGAAAAGCTTCATAGGGTTTTCAAGGCCGTAAATCTTTATAGAAAATAGACTGCCTGCTCTTTTTCCAGTGGTGTTGTTGGTGAGCTCAAATCACCAATCTTTTGGTTAGTAGTCCAGTGCTTAACCTACTGTGTCACCAAAGATTTTTACTATAGTCCAGGAACTGGAATGGTGATTTAGACAGACTGGTAGCATAGTGGTTACAAATCAGGCTGCTATTCTTAAGGTCAGGAGTTCGAAACAACCAGCAGTCCCATGGGAGAAAGATGAGAGGCTTTCTGCTTCCATGGAAACTCACAGGCTCAGAAACGCCTCAGACACCCTATACAGAGTCGATATGCGTCAGAACTGACTCCTCGGCACACAACTGCCAGACAGATAACAATCTCTGCCCTCACAAAGCTGACATTCTTTATTGTTAACTTCTTCCCATCATCCTAACCAAAACACAAGCTCCATGAGGGCAGAAACACCTGCTTTGCTTATTGCATTAACTGTAGCACCAAGAATAGCCTTTGGCATGTGGCAGATGTTTAATAAATATTTGCTGAATAAATGAGCGAAAAGGTGCCAAGACACAAATGTTTGCCACAGATTTTCATCTATTTCTACTGTGTACAACATTGTTCCAACAAGTCACCAAACGGATTTTATTCCCATGCAAAGTTCCTTACAGTGCACTGTCTTCATGCTATACAAAAAAGTAAAATCATGACTAAAACATCCCAGTATATTTTAAATGTTGAAACAAGCAGCAACTTGGTCATTTTTAGTATTTAGTTTTTTCAGTGCAAAGTAAAAGAGCCATAATATTATAACGAGTCTTGATGTGGTGCTATAAGAGAAGCACTAGACTGCTAACCACAAGGTTGGTGGTTCAAACTTACCAGCTGCTCTTCAGAAACTCTATACAAGTTGGAATCAACTTGAGGGCACTTAACAACAATGTTGCTGCTAAGTGCCATCAAGTTGGTTCCAACTCAGTGATCCTATATAGGGTTTCCAAAGAGCAGCTGCTTTGCAGTCTAGTGCTTTACCCCACAGTGCCACACCAGAAAAGTGTTGTGCTGTTATTGTTCAGTGCCACCAAGTCGGTTCCAACACAAAGTGACCCTGCCTAGAGTTTCCTAAGAGCAGCTGGTGAGCTTGAACTGCTGACCTTGTGGTTCAAAGTAACCTTTCAGTACAGTGCATTAACCCAGAGCACCACACCAGGACTTCACAACCACGAGAGCAGACAGTAAATGCATATGAGGAAAAGGATTTTTAAATAGATTTTTATTTGTAAAGTTAAAAAACAAAAAACTAATCCGTGTCAGGCTCCTTCTTCTTTCTCCTTGTTCCTTTTGAGTAACTGCCAGGTTCAGTTTGTTGTGTCAGCCACTCTTTCTCCAGCTGCTTCAGCATGTCTGGCGTGAGGAGTCCTTGCTGCACCAATCTGGAAGCAAGGGATTTGTCTCCTGCCTCGGGGCTGTGGGGCTCAGCAGCTTTCAGCCCTGGAGTTTTGGTGGCACGCTTCCTTCTAGCTTGGTTCTTTAAAGTGCTTGACAAATGAGACTGGCTCCCTGCTGGCAAGTTCTCCAAATGCAACAGCTTATGTGATTCAGAAATTTTAATCAATTTAGTGATGTTGTGTACACCTTCTTGGATAATGCCATCTAGTTCTTTCTGGAGATCTCGAATAAGGCTGGCATCTGGAAACATGTCCAAAAATCGGTAGCTGGAACAAGACACATGATATTACAGGCAGAGTTTTTATCACAGTTGCTGGACCCACCTCGAGGACCTATTTCCATCCTGACAGTGATTAACTCCAAATGCTCTCTCCCTGCACTCTGTCCAGGGCTTCTGCTCAGCCGTCACTCCTCCCTAGCTCACCTGAGGAACTTGTGGCCTCGTGACTGCCTGTGAGCTGCTCCCCTCGGGGAACATGTCCTGCCCTTAAGAATCACCATCTAGAGCAGTGCTTCTCAAATGTCAACATACAAATGAATCAATCACCGGGGAATCTGCTAAGAGCAGAACTCTGGGGAGACCTGATAAGCTGTGTACTTGTAAGGGACTGCCAAGTGCCTTTAGTCCATAGGTCACCCTCTGAGGAGCCAGGGTGGAGAGGACCTCTCCCCTAACTATCTTAATTAAGATCACAATAACTCATGTAACTTTTGGAATGAGTATTACAAACCAAGTTCAACGGCCTTTATGGACAATAATCATCATACAGAGCAGCATGCAAATGTGCGCCTAACTTCACAGAACAAAAGGCCACTCATAAAACCTTTAGTCTGGTGCTGGTGGCAGTAGTGGTGTGCCGTGGAGTCAGTTCCAAGTCAAACCAACCCTATGTAGGGTTTCTGAGGCTGTTAATCTTTATGAAGCAGAAAGCCTCATCTTTCTTCTGAAAAGCAGCAGGTAGACTCAAACTGGTGACCTTACTATTAACAACCCAACACATAACCCACTACACTGCCAGGGCTTCTTAAAATCTTTTACCCTATGAGAAAATTGAGAGCACATAAAGGAAAACATTTAGTACCTTAGCCACAGGTAGAGATCCAAGACATCGTGAACAGCTTCAAGATCCATGAGGTCTTTAATATTTTTAGGTGAAAGTAATGGCCATTTAATATATCGGCGTAGCCATGCAAAAGTCAGGGGCTCATTCCTGCTAAACTGCCTGGCAAACTGAGAAAAAAAGAAGGTAAGAGTTTGGTAAAGGAATTAGAATTCACTTAAGTCTGTGATGGCAAAGAGAAAGGAAGAAAGCACAGTGAAATGCTAACTCCGGATGTGTTTCAACTGGCTGGCTGACTTTCTTCTTTGCAGTTTTCCATATTTTTATGAAGGAGCCCTGAAGGAGCACGGTTAAGCATCTGACTTCTAATAGAAGAGTCAGTAGTTTGAAGCCAGCAGCTGTTCTCTGCTTCTATAAAGACTGTTGTTGTCGGCGGCAGAATCACAGCCTTGGAAACCCTGGCGGGCACTTCTGTCTGCCCTACAGGGTTGCTATGAATTGGAATCAACTTTATAAAAGCACTTAGCAAGAAAGGGAGGATGATTTTCTTCATTTCCCAAAATCAGGACAATAGTATGTGGCATTAGAAGTTTTATAAGGGCTAACTTTTCAGGTCCTAAATTTACTCTCCTTTATAACATTTGATGTTCTACGTGCTTGGCAATCTGGAAATCTTCATTTCTACCCTTCATGTAGGCTCACAACCTCAAACAGCTTAATTTTCTGTCTCTCACTATGTCCCCTCTTCTCATAAAGTCTTGGTGTGGTCTGGTGAAAGGCTGGCCACAAGGCAATCTTGACTCTGCCTCTAACTCACTGTACGGCTCTGGCCAAGTCACCACTCTGCCTCAGCCCCGTGTCTGGATGGGAACCGTGTATGTTGTGGAATCCAGTTGGGGTAAGTAGTCCCCAGTGGCTGACGGCCTCTCTCTTCCTCTAGTACTGTTGATGGGGCTGGTGGTCCAGAGGTTGCTTATTCCTTGGAGGCCATGTGGACCATAATGTTCACCACCTGTTGTTGTACCGAATTCATTGTTATACCAGGAAATGACCTTGATAAAGTGGTTGTTGAGGGCAATGCCAGTCCCAGCATCAAAGGTGATGAGTGAGTGTCCCTGTATTGTCACAAGAGCCGACCTGGTCTTCAGGGTAACCCAGGATGCCTTTTAGGGGAACATCTGATGCCTGCTTCACCACCTTCTTGATGTTATCATATTTGGCAGCTTTCTCCAAATGGCAGGTCAGATTCATGACACATTTAGACTCGGGACACAGAAGGCCAAGCCAGTGAGTTTCCCATTCAGCTCAGGGATAACCTTGCCCACAGCCTTGGCACTGCTGATAGACACAGGGATGATGTTCTGGGCAGCCCCACAGCCATCACGCCAAGTTTCCCAGAGGGAGCCATCTAGACTTCTGGGTGGCAGTGATGGCACGGACTGTGGTCACGAATCCCTCCATGATGCCAAAGTTGTCCTGGGTGACGTTGGTCAGTTGGTGGTGTAGAAGGCATTGCTGACAATTTTGAGGGAGCTGTCATACTTCTCGTGGTTCACGCCCATCACAAACATGGGGGCATCATCAGGAGGAGCAGAGATGATTACCCTTTTGGCACCTCCTTTCCAGTGAGCCCCAGCCTTCTCCAATTCTTCTCTAATCTTACAAGAGATAAAAGAAGAAAGGAGTCCTGATATGCTGCTATGGGTTAATGGACTGCTAAGTCGGTTTGAACTATAAGGTCGGTGTTGAAGCTCTGCTTGTTAATCCACCCACGTGTAGTATTTATGTTATAGTCACACTATAACCTTTTCTTGAATTGTTGGGGAATGTGGGAAAGGCACTCAAGCATCACGCATTATCACACATAACCAATATAATAGGTAACAGGAAAACAATAATAGAAGGCTTTTTAAGCAAAAAATTTAAATCTTTAGTTTCCAAGAATAAAGTGATTTCATTTCCTGATTAGGGAAAATTCTCTCTAAATGTCTAATCTAAGCAAGCTAAATACTTCAAGGAGTCAGGAGGGTATTAGACCAACTATTGCCAAACAATGCTGCTGATTTTATTAAATTCAATCTGGTGCACTGTGCTGTGTTCAGTAAATGCCAAGCAAGACAGTCACAGAGGCTGGAAATGTGACCACACCAACGTGCTAAGTAGGGCATGTCAAACATAACTCTCAAGTTCTCTAAGAAAGGCAGTGGATTTAAAATTTTGGGTCACAAACAACTAGTGGAAGCCCAATATGTAAATGAGGCAAGCACAAAATTGCCCAGAGGAGGGTAGAAATGTTCACCCCATTCAGACATCTTCACTCAGCAGTCCCTCCAGGGAGCACAAATTCAAGACCAATGTTCTAAAAACATCAAAGAGAGAATCAATGGGGCTGAGCTCTTTGTTATAGTTCAATAATAATGATGATTAAGAAAAAAAAAAAAAAACCTCCAGATTTCATTCACATTCTAATACTTAAACAGAAAACACAAGTAGCTGTTTAACTGGATTGTTCTAGAAAGCACACTGTTGCCTACTACTAGCTAACAACATAGGCTTCATTAATATATCTGTGCAGATGGGACCAAGGCCATGGGATCTATCTCCATTCGGGTACTCAGGAAAAAAAAGACCGCTCCATCAACTTCCACCTTCTGCTAGACAACCAGCTTTCTTACAAATGTCGTCAGCTCTAACAAACAGAGTAGTCAAAGATTTTCTAGGTTAAACATCTGGGCATGGAAGACTTCCAAGAACACGCTACTAAAAGAAAAAAGTTGCAAAATTATTTATGGGAAAGCATATCCACGCAACAAACTAGAATTCTCAGAGGTACATCTATATAGGCAAATGCAAAGGAAGGTCTGCAGGGATACACACAGACTGACAATAGTACTTTTTCCACAGGCAGGGGATTTGGGGTGCTGGCCAAACCTGCCTATAATGTCCTAATTCTGTATAAAGAGAAAGTATTTACAAAATTAAAAATGAATTTAAATAGTAAATTCAGAAGGAGATTCAATTAGAATACAGCTGGTATGTAGAACATTATGGCCTACAGAGATACCACTACAGCAAAAAGTGAGGAAAAGATCAGAAAAGAGGAGACACCTCTGGGTTTACTGGGGTGAGATGAGCACTGCAAACAGACAAAAGCATGTAAAAGGGTCCACAGAGCAGGGCTGGACACCCAGGTCCCACTGCTCTTATCGGACCCCCTTGTTTGAATAAGACCTATGCTTCTCAGAAGCCTGAGATTTGTGTCCCCTACCCAAAAGGGACTGAAACCCTGCAGCAGTATGTTCATATAGAAAGTACTGCAGGTTCAAACTCTTACACATAAGAAAACTGAATTCTATTTTCTGAATCCTCTGTCCCTCCACAAAACTAATAAGGAAAAAAAGTATCATTAGGCAAAGCCTACTCTCTTGAAAACTGTATTTCATGATTTGGGGTTCAGCTTCTTAACATACACATGGAAATACACGCTTCACTCCCTTCCTCACTATCCCCAAAAGCATATGTATAGAAAAAAAAGTCACTCTACATTTAAATTCTTACAAAGTCTCTCATTATTACAGGGTACTCTCCCAAATGCTTTATTTTGAATTTAAAAAGTACTGTTTGGGGAAAATTCATCAACCTGAAATAACTCAAAATATCAAAAAGGTTTACCTGTAACAATGAAGAGCAAACAAAAGGCTGCTTCTTGTTGATAGGCGCTGTGCAGAAAACATACCTCACTCGGAGACTTAACGGAATATGTTGGATCAACTCTGCAGAAAATTTAAAATCATCCAAATTGCAGACAAAATATTGCCCATCAACTTGTGAAAAATCTACAAAAATATCCTGAGGGGGGAAAAAAGACATATGGCATTATAGATGGCCAAACCGGGCATGATGTAAGTACTGAAATCTATAGCAGACAATCTCTCTAATTCACAACAGACTTCCAGAAATACCTGCCTCCTCAAGCTAACAGACATGCAAAGCCTTCCCTTCCTGAAATACTCAGAGGTAAAATTACTAAGGCAAAAGTCTCAGAAAGTTTTCAGATCAAGATAAATTTCATAAATAGTAATTCCATAAAGTAAACTATTCATTCATGTTCAAGAGGTTAACCAGTAATTATGTGACCCATCACCACCAGTTTTACAAAGATACAATAAACATGAGTTTTTAAAGTGAGCTTCTTTCATTTCCTTGGTTTGGAGGTTTAGGTTCCTGGTTTCATGGGGCACTCCAGTTAATTGGCCAAATAACGTGCTTCTGCTTCTGTTTTAACTCCTAGTTCACTGCAGAGTGTCCAGGTACTTAAAAGTTTGCAAGCGGCCATCCAAGGCACAACAATTGGTCTGTATTCACCTGGAGCACTGGAGGAAGGTGGAGAATCAGGAATATGAGGAGGTAGGGAATGTGTGGCTAACTGCCTCCATGAACAACTGTCTGCTTTGCCAGGAGACCACAAGAACTAGATGGTGTCCCACTAACATCACTGACCATTTGATTGAAGATTCCTGATCCAAAGGGGGGACATGAAGAAGAGAATTTAAAATACCAAGAACACTGCAAAAATCCCCAAAACTATTGCTCTGAGATAATCTTGAAACCAAATAAAATTTTAGTTCACCTAGTAAAATGTGTCTGCTTTGAGCATAATGCTCTTTCACAATTGATCTCGATGATATCAAATTTAACAACAGCAACTTTCTAAAGATTAGCCAGGAACCTTTGGGTGAAGTGAGCTTATGCTAATGGGGAGAAGAACAACTCATACAAGGAGGGGAGAATGGTTGCATAGTTCAGGGAATGTCATCAGTATCACTGAACTGAACATTTAGAAACAGCTGAACTGCTGTGTATTTCTCAACAACAACAGGTTGGTTTGTTTTTTAAGTGACTTTCTACTTACAATGAGATTAGAAAGTGTTGTATCAGGGAGATGATAGGCAAACATTTCAATCTGGTCAGCAGTTGGATGAAGACCAGCTGCCTTTAGTAAAAGAAAAAAAAACTACAATTAGCTAATATACACAATAACAAAAGGACAAATTTTCTTTATTTCAAGATAAACTCCTATAATCAGGCTAAATTGTCACCAAATGAACTAAATGTCAAGAATTTGGATGAGAGAAAACCATCATGACTTTACATCTTATTACCAATTAGGAAAGCTGATGAGATCATTTAGTAAAAAAAAAAAATTATATTCACAGAAGAATTAGTCTTTCACTTACATTTCAGTCACAGTTATAACATAGACAATTGGTATAATGCTGAAATTTGCTGTCTAATAAAAATCATTTTCAAAGTCTCATTTCTCCCCACTGAACAAAAATAAACAAGGACATCCAGTCCCTGTAAGGAAGACAATAAATGTATACACATACATACCTAAGGAGCCCTGATAGCGTAGTGGATTATGAGGAGGGCCGCTAGCTGCAAGGTCAGCAGTTCAAATCCACCAGTCACTCCATGGGAGAAAGATGAGGCTTTCTGCTCCAGTAAAGATTTACAGCCTCACTATGAGTTGGAACTAACTCGGTGGCACACCACCACCACCACCACCACCACCACTACATACGTGAGAAAACTTCTCAACTGGAGACCAACTATAGCTTTAGACGTATAATTAATTGCAGTGTTAAGAAATTACCACAGGTAAGTACAAGGAATGAAGCAAAGGAAGGAGAGGAAGAGAAAGGAATGAAAAGAGACAGACAGAAGGAGGAAAGAGATGAAGCAATGAGGCATAAGAGGGAAAGAAAGTTGGAGAAAATGGGGTGTGCCCTGTGCCAAGAACCTAAACACAATTTACCAAAAGCTACGAAATTCAACAATAGCTCTCCTCCAGAAAAGTTTTCTTGCATAGTAGTAGCATGTATAAGTATATGCTCATAGAAGATGGAGATGAGCCATAAAAAGTGAAGCTAAAACTTAATTTTAGCTTAAATTTTAATTACTTAAAAAACGTTATTACTGAGTTTTTCTCTATGGTGATGGAAAGTTTGGCAACAGATACTGGTGATGGGAGCACAATATGGTTGCTATACAAGTGTCACTGAATTGTATATTTGAGAAATGGTGATTTTGCAAATACTGTGCTATTTATATTTTTACAATAAAAAATGATAGCTGTGTTATTTAACATATGCACAAACCCTGTACAAAATTTAATTTTGTCCTAATTGGCTAGAAGTTGTCTTGCTTAGTGCTGTTTTCCCCCACTCTCAACGGGTTCTTCTATTTTCAGGCTCTGGAAAATTTTCAGTCTGCCAACACAGTTCTATGTGCCCACCTGAAGTAACTGTGCCTATCCTACCTGCTGCTTGATTCTAGAAAGAACTAAAGGCAGGTTGTTCAATTTGGGTCTTTTCCTTGCACACCAGGAGTTTGACCCAGGAGTCTCCAAATCTTTGAAAGCTATAAATGTTTTTTTAACATTATTTCCATGGCACCAGTAAAAACAAGTTTGTTTTTTTGAAGGGGATTATTTATGTTCCCTGATATTTGAGCAAGAGTCTGAGTGGTAGGTCAGAGAAGGGACAGTGGTACTCCACAGAGAAGTAACATGTCACACCTTACCTTTATAAGTTCCACAGGCCTATTCAAAATCTCTTTTAGTAAATTCAGATCCTCTCGAGTCATGGTTGTAACCTCTCCTTCTTTAAATTTCGAGCTGAATCTACCAGCTCTGCCAGCAATCTGCAGGGCTTGAGAAGTAGTAATAGGTTCCATTTCCTTCTCTCCCTTTTCATTAATACTAGGTTTTATAAGGGAGTAAAAGATAATCCTTTTTATACTTCTGAAATAAAAAGAGGAGAGACTCTCAGACTTTGTATGAGAAAAATTTCAATCACTTGGGGGGTCACTACAGAAATCCTCATCCCAGTTCTAGTCAAGGCCCCCTTGCAATCTTGCCCACCATTAAAAAAATATGAAAACTTGAAGAATGTAATCAGTGTCAATGAATTACGCATGTAGAAACTATTGAATTGATAAACTACCCATAAAAAAAGCAAAAAGCAGTTTGTTGATAATGCTTCATTTCAAATAGTATCTTTCAACAACTATGATACAACTTTAACAATCATCAAACTGTACACTAACAATGGTTGTTGACTTGTATGATATGTAAATTATATTAGTATGCAACAAACAAAAACAAATAATTATTTATTTAAAAAACAAACGACATTTGACCTAGCCTCGATGGCTTGATAATCAGAACTCGACTAGAGGAAGATGAATAAATAAATTTTGATAAAATAAACAAGGGTAAATTGCTACAATTTGATGAACTCGACCTATACTCCTGGAGGTAGTAACTCTAAATACCAACAGAGAGGGAAGGAGTCTTCACATCAATTTCCTCTGTACACAGGGTAGATAGGGACAAGCAACTTAGATTCTGGCTACCTAAAATGAGGGGCAATAAAGGCACGAAGTGACTGGCTTACAAGGTTTCAAGAGGGAGTTTAGTTTAAGAGTGTGTGGAGGAAGAAAGAGTTCCCACTGAATAGTTTTCTTCTCGTCTAGATGGTTCTGGTTAAAAAGAGATGGGGATAAAATTCTTATGATTCAACAGTGAGTAATTTTTATTATGACTAATTGCAACTGTCACAATTATAAAGGTAGAAGTTTGGTAACAAAAATGGGGGAGTAGTTAATCTTACAGTCCAGAAACAAAGGACCCTAAGACCATCAGGGGGGAAGAACACAAGTGGAATGTGGGACCTTATCCAGAAAAATAACAATACCAGAGATGGGGACATGGAGAGAGGGGGCAGCTGAGGACTCTGGATTCATGGAAAGAGAGGGACTGAGAGCTTGCGGCCAAGAGGAAGATTTGCAGAATGTGTCCTTTGGTGCTGTAAATTATTATATATGCCTGAGTGTTTTTTAAAAAAAAATACCTAAAGTGAATAGAGATATATACTGTTATCTGTTGGGTCATGGAAGGAATATAATCATTGTAATGAAACAAGGTTTATGATTTATTGAACGTAAACTTTCACTCAATTTACAATGAAAACTAAAAACAAAAGCACGAAACTTTATATAAAAAATAAAGTTTTAGTTCTTTTTAAACAAATAATCCAAATAAAGTATTCTAAGACTGCTTTAAAAAGCAGGCTGCTATGAACAACTATTAGCAGTTCCGTGATTCAAAAAGGTACAGCTGCCTAGATTACGCAGGGTGGACTAACTAGGGTTAACCGGGGGATAACGGAGTCCTGGTGCGTTGATCCTGAGTGGGAACTGACTCAATGGCACCACCCCCCCACCACTATGTGCTAATGGTTAGCCCCCATAGTGGCTAGCATAACAGATTCTCAGACACCTGCTGACTCAGACGGTGAAATGACAGGTTGAGCTAACATAGCAGGTTAGCAGTGACAGAGGTGGGTAGGGCTCAAAAGCCCTTCCTTTTAATCTTTTAACAGCCATATGCAAGATAAATCTCAGATCTATCCTGTAATAAAGGAAACACACTATCTACCCTATAATAAAAGGTGATGCAAATGATTACGTGCTTGGCTGCTATGAATAAAGCTGGCAGTTTGTACCCAGCAATGGCTGTGCCAGATGCCTGGTGATCTGCTTCCATATATTACTATAACCAAGAAAATCCTATGGGGCAGTTCTGCTTTGCCACATGGGGATGCTGGGAGTTGAAACTGACTTGACAGAACGATACACTATAACACCCATTTTCCTAGATCAAACTGGTGTCATCAGAAAATGGCTAAATCAATTAAGAGAACTGAAAGAAAAGAAAAGCAATCGAACCCACAGAATATCCATGCTTATTCAAAACAAATCACTTACAAATTCAGTCCCATGCCAATCGCATCTGTAGCTACCAGTATTTTGCAGGGATCATCGGGATCATTAAATTTTTTTGCTTGAGCAAGTTTGGTCCCTAAAACAAGAACAGGTGTGATAGTTTATGTTAAATCAGTGTTCTCAATCCTTTACTCCATCACACTGCATATACTATGGAAACCTTCACCTCTTGTTCTTTTCATCTTTATAAATAAAACTCTTAAAGTTTCTAATTCATGTCTTGATATCCTCAGTAGAGATGCCTTTCTTTACTTCCAGCCCTTAAATACCCTCTCATGGAGCCACCCAGTCTCCCAGCACTCCAGTCTTATCATCCCCGGTAACACATTAACACTACAGGTCTATAGTTTGAAGGATATATTTTAAGGACATTTCTGTAAGAAATTCATAAACTTAACTTTTAATATAGTCTTTTAATGGAAGACAGTAACAAGAGCTGTGATTAATACACTTCAATTCCCACCAAGATGAAAAGGGAATATTTTATACAACCTATTGGATTAAGCATCTTAATCCAGTATCTTTTACTGTGTTTCTATACGTATCTTGACATAGAAGAGATTTCAGGTCCTGTCGGGAAGAAAAAAAAAAAATACTTACCAGGTGGGAGACTGCCATATATAACAGCTGATTCCAATCCTCGAATCTCAATTTGCCGACTCACAGAATAAATATCATTCTTGCTAAAACAGACAATGCAGTCCCCAGGTTGAAGATTATCTAAAGATTCTAACGCATGATCCAGTACAGAAATGGGGGTAAGCCTGTTATATGTTCGAACCTACAATAAAGAGATGATATTGTAAAGAAACAACACGTAACTCAGCTTCTTATAACTATTTAGTGAAACACTTGTAAGGGAAGAGTAGCTAAACTCAGTTATGAATATTTTACAATCGAAAATACAGAAAAGCATTTATTTTGAAATTATAAGTGTTACAATCAGTTCTCTTGGGCATTTCTAAATTAATAAAATCTTTAGAATTATGAAATAATGTTTCATAAATTTTCAAAGCAACTTTACATACATTTGAGTTTCATGGTAACTTAGCAATAAATTTAGAAAAGTTAAGTGTGATTTCCAGTTTATGCAAGTGAAATAGAGCCCAAGAAAAAGATCAAATTGAGGCCTTTCCCACTTCTAACCTTCTGTGATCTAAGAATGCAAACCTGACTGAACCCAGAATTTCTTCTACTATATCCTCTAAATTTAAAAGTATTTCTTCACCTTATTACAGAACCCTAGTAAAGAAACCATCACTTGTCTGTCAGTTTGTCAAACTATGGAGGCTGGAGTGTTGCTGTAATGCTGGAAGCTACATCAGCGGTATTTAAATATCAGCAGGGTCACCCATGGTAGACAGATTTTAGCTGAGCTTCCAGACAAAGACAGACTAGAAAGGAGAGGTGAATGGTTAGCCACTGAAAACCTTAGCAATGGCAGCAGTACATTGTCAGACAGAGTGCTGGAACATGAGCCCCTTGAGGTTAGGAGGCACTCAAAACATGACTCTCGAAGAGCTACCTCCTTAAAGTTGAGCTGACCATAATGACAAGAATGGAGCAAAGCTTTTAGGACCATCATGTGCTGATGGAGCACAAGTCAAAATGAGAAGAACAACTACAAATATCCACTAATAACTGGAATATGCAATGTACAAAGTATGAACCTAGGAAAATTGGAAGTTGTCAAAAATGAAATGGAACACATAAAGATAGATAGATATCCTAGGCATTAGTGGTCTGAAGTGGACTGGTACTAGCAATTTTGAATCCAGGAATGACAAACTGAAGAGGAATGGCATTGTATTCATAGTCAAAAAGAAAATTTCAATATCTATCTTGAAGTACCATGCTGTCTGTGACAGGATAATATCCATACACTACAAGGAAGACCAGTTAATAGCACTATTACTAAAATTTAAGCAACCACTAAAGCCAGTGATGATGAAATTGAAGAATTCAATCAACTTCTTAGTCAGAAACTGATCAAACATGCAATCAAGATCTATTGGTAATTACTCGTGATTGGAATAAGAAAACTGGAAACACAGAAGTAGTTAAATATGAACTTGGTGACAGAAATGATACTGGAGAGCACATAACAGAATTTTGCAAGATTAAAAACGTATTCATTGTAAATATCTTTTTTAGACAACATAAAAAGGCAACTATACACATGGACCTCAACAAATAGAATACACAGAAATCAAATCAACTACATCTGTGGAAACACAGTAGAAAAGCTCCATATCATCAGCCAAAATAAGGCCAGGGCAGACTGTGGAACAGATTATCAATTGCTCATATGCAAGTGAAGGCTGAAGCTGATGAAAATTAAATTAAGTCCGCAAGAGCCAAAATATGACCTTGAAAAATCCCACCTGAATTTAGAGTAATCTCAAGAATGGATCCAATACATTAGAAACTAATGGCCAATGAAAGACTCCTAGACTACATAGGCGTGCTACAGAGACCCGCTATAAAAAAGATACAGGAGTCCTAATAAAACAGACATAAAGGACAATTCTGGAATCCTGAGCTTCCCAGGAAAGGTTAGAGAAGTGGACTTCTTGCTTACATGGAGGAGAAGCTGAGCAGGGGCAGTGAAAAAAGGAGACTTACTGTTGAACTGACTCCTGGCCAAATGCAGCATGGCCATCTTGGGAAAGAGACAGGCAGTGGCCTGCTGGCCCAGGTTCATTATGACAATCAAAAATGAGATAGCAACCAAGTCCACACAGCTCCACCCACCGGATAAGCGCCAATACGAGTTCTTATACCATATGATCAATTACAGACATCAGCCAACACAGAATAATTCAGGAAAACACTGTAAGAATAGTCAAAATAAATACAAGTTTTGAAACAATACAAAACCTGCCATTAGAAATCCAGAAAATTAATACTAAGAACTCAGAAATGAACAGTGCACTAAAAGGACAAAGGAGCAGATCTGAATCCATGGAAGCCCAAATTAGTGACCTTGCAGAGAAATCTCTCAATACTAGTAAGTTAGAAGAACAATCTGAAGAAAGCCTAAGAGTTATGTGGGACATCACATAGAAGGATATCTTATTGGTGATCAGAATTCCAGACAGAACAAGATGAGACAATAAAAAGCATACAGCATTTTTTTGAAGAGCTCCTGAAAGAAAATTTCCCCAATATCATGAAAGGTGACGATCATTAAAGAAGTTAAATAAACCCCAAACAGGGATAGATCCAAAAAGAAAATTACCAAGACTTATCATAATCAAACTTCCCAAAACCAAAGACAAGAATTCTAAGAGCACCTTGGGGAAAATGAAAAATGACCTGCAACAGAACCAATATACCTGTAAGCTCTGATTTCTCAGCAGAAATCAAGCAGACAATAATGCAACAGGATAATATATACAAAACTCTGAAAGAAAAAAATTGCCAATAAAGAATCATATACCCAGCAAAACTGTCCATCAAATACAATGGTGAAGTTAGGATACTTTCAGATAAAAAGAAATAAAGGAATTTTAATAACTAAAACAACTATATAAAAAAATGCTAAAGGGTGTTCTCTGGACTGATAACCAACAACAGCAGACAACCTGAGATGAACACACATGATACACCATCCAGAACTCAACCCAGGTATAAAAATATATAACTAAAACAAACCTATGAGACTAAAAATAGGGAACCAGAGATATCAATTTACAATGAACGCAATTAAAAGTAAAAAGAGGGAATAGTGTAGACACAGAACTTCCAAATGGCAAGGAAGTCAAGTATATTCTGATATAAGACAGACTGTTTAAAATGGGAGGAAAAGAAATCACAGGGTTACCGCAGAGAAAATTACTACACCCTCACATCAAAATAACCAAGAGGAAAATCAGAAAGATCTTGTAAACATTAAAATAGCAATGTAGAAAATGAAAAGAAAACCAACTAAAAAAATTAACTCAGTGCAAATATTTATGTAGGACAAAGAAACTAACAACACCACAAAAACAACAACAACAACAACAACAACAAAACCCACACAGCATAACGACAGCAATTGACTCATACCTACTTATAATTACACTGAATGTAAATGGAATAAATGCACCAGTCAAGAGACAGAATGGATAAGAAAACAGGCTCCCTCAATGTGTACGTCTATCAGGGACACACTTTACACACACAGACAAAAATCAACTAAATACTAAAGGATGGGGAAAAAAATCACTATTCACAATAGCAAAAAGACGGACACAATCTAAGTGCCCATCACAGAAGAATGGATAAACAAAATTTGGTACATATACACAGTAGAATGTTACACAACATTGAAGAAAACTGATGAACACCTCACAGCACCTATGAACCTGGAAGACTTTACACTGAGTGAAAATAGTCAGGGGTCCTGGTGTGGCAACAAAAGGACAAGTACTGCATGAGACCAGTGTTGTACAAAGTTAAGAAAGGATTCTCTTACTAATGGAAACATTCTATGATGGTTACCAGGGGCAAAAGGGAAGGGAAGATCCTTCACAGGGTAGAATATAGACAGATGTTAACTTGGGTGACGGGGTACTCTCACAAATGTCTGTACATGTAGAGCAAAGTAAAATTGAACCCCTAACTCGTATCACAAGGAGCTCTGGTAGCGTAGTGGTTATGAGTTGGGCTGCTAACCTCACCGTCAACAGTTTGAAACGATGAGCTGTTTTATGGGAGAAAGATGAGGCTTTCTGCTCCTGCAAAGATTTACAGCCTCGGAAACCCTATGTAGGGTCGCTATAAGACGGAATCAACTCCATGGCACATAATCACCACCAACATTTCATATCATATCCAAAAACAAATCGCCGGTGAATTAAATATTTAAATGTGAAAAATAAGCAACAAAAGCCATAAGGAGAGAAAAAAAAAAAAAAGCTAATGACCAACCAAAGTCCAGAAGAGATGTGGGAAGACATTCAAGAATAACATACAGGAAGAAGGTCATTAAAAAGACAGGAAAGAAAGAAAAGCCCATATGGATGTCAGAAGAGACTGTGCAACTTGCTCTTCAGCATAATTATGCTAAAGTGAATGGAAGAAATGAGGAAATCAAATAGCTGAACTGAAAATATTAAAAGGCAGCCCAAGAAAAGAAAGTGTTATAATGAAACAGGCAAGGACCTGGAGTTAGAAAACCACGTTCAGCATTTCTCAAGCTGAGAGAACTGAAGAACAGATTCAACTTGCAATACTGAAGGACTCCAGGAGCAAACTATTGAAAATATCAAAAGAAGATGGAAGGACGCACAGCACTGTACCAAACAGAAATGGTCAAGGTTGAGTCATTTCAAGAGATACCATCTGATCAAGAACTGATGGTGCTAAAAGAAGAAGTTCAAGCGGCACCGAAGTCACTGGTGAAAAACAAGGCTCTGGGAATTGATGGAATACAAATGGAAAGCGTGCAACAAAGTGATGCAGCACAGGAGGCACTCACTCATCTATGTCTAGAAATTTGGAGGACAGCTACTTTGCCAACTGATTGGAAGAGATCCGTATGTGTGCCAATTCCAAAGAGAGGTGACTCAATGGAATGGGGAAATCATCAGACAGTATCATTAGTATCACTTGCAAGTAACATTCTGCTGAAGGTAATTCAGAAACAATTGAAGCAGTACACGGACAGGGAGTTGCTAGAAATTCAAGCTGGATTCAGAAAAGGACTGAAACGGGATATCACTGCTGACATCAGATGGATCTCACTGAAAGCAGAGAGTACCAAAAAGATGTTTACCTGTGCTTTACTGACTATGCAAAGGCTTTTGACAAACTACGGAAAACACTGTGAAGACTGGCTATTCCAGAACACTTAGTTGTGCTCATGAGGAGTCTGTATACAGACCAAGAAGCAGTTGTTTGAACACAACAAGGAGATACTGAATAGTTTAAAATCAGGAAAGGTGTATGCCAGAGTTGTATCCTTTCACCATACTTATTCAATATATATGCTGAGCAAATACAAGAAGTTGAATTATATGAAGAACATAGCATTAGTATTGGAAGAAGACTCATTAACAACCCACGATATATAGATGATATAACCTTGCTTATTGGAAGTGAAGAGGGTTTAAAATACATACTGATGAAGATGTATGTAGGGATTGCACCTCAATGTAAACAAAACAAAAGTCTTCACTAGTGGACCAATAAATAGCAGTCAAGAAATCCAAATGATGTATTGCAAAAAAAAATTCTTTATAGTATTCAAGAGCAAAGATGTCAATCTGAGGACTAAGTTGTACCCGACCCAATCCATGGTATTTTCAGTAGCCTCATATGCTGTGAAAGTTGTACAATGAACAAGAAAGACCTCAGATGAATTGATGCATATGAACTATGTTATTGGAGAAGAACATTAAAAGTTCCACAGACTGACAGAGGAACAAACAAATCTGTCTTGGAAGAAGTGCAGCCAGAATGCTCCTTAGAATCCAGGATACTGAGACTTTGCCTATCCTATTTCAGGCTTGTGATGAGGAAGGACCAGTCCCTAGAGAAGGACATCATGTTTGATGAAGTGGAGGGTCAGAGAAATAGAAGACCCTCAATTAGATGGAATGACACAGAGGCGGCAGCAACCAATGTGAGGATGGTGCAGAACCAGTTTTGTCCTATTGTGAATTCAACCACTATGAGCTGGAGCTGACTGGACAGCACCTAACAACAACAAAAGTGAAAAAACACAGACAAACAACAACAAAAACAAGATTAAAAGGAAAACCACTCTTTCCTACTCTACAATTTTCATAAGGGAATATATGAGGCCACAATATCTAAAATACAAGACTTTGAAAACTGCACTTTATCCTGCCTTTTGATAGGACTCAAACTTCCAGGATTCCTGATTTATTTAATTCTAAAAGGATCTGCTCAAACCCTAAAACATTATGCCAAGAGATGATGGAGAATCTAGGAGGCTACTCCAGCAGAAGGTTAGAACACAAGATTCAGATCAGTTAAGTAAGGTCTACTCCACCTGACGCAGCCCTGGTGTGATGCTGTAGGATCAGCACTGGACTACAAATCACAAGGTCTGCCGTTCAAGCCCACCAGCTGCTCCTATGAAACCCTATATATGGTCATCATGAGTTGGAATGATGCAATGGGTTAAGCGTTGGGCTGCTAACTGTAAGTTCAGCAGTTTCAACCCACTAACTGCTCTGAGGGAGAAAGATGAGGCAGTCAGCTTCTATAAAGACTTAGAGTTTAGGAAAACTCTACCCTGTCCTCTAGGATCGCGATGAGTCAGAATCAAGTTGACAGTAGCGGGTTTGGGTTTAGTTTTGGACTCAACCACAAGGAAATGACTTTCTTTTTAGTTAAATGTTGTCACTCTGGGGTTTATGACACCCACCTCCTCTGAGCTATTTATCTGATGTGGTTGGTACCTGGAAAACAAAGCATATAACCTAGTACCTCCACTTCCTCCCCAGTCGTGTACATGAGCTCAGTCACCAGGTCAATTGCAGCAGATTCTCCACACAGATGGACTTCTTGGGCACAGAGTCCTATATATGCAAAATTGACATGTATTTTTTAATTTAAAGATATCAGAATTAAATATGCAACATTTTACAGAGCAAAAAGACTTTACATTTCATTACCAATTACTTTACCTCTTATCAAGTGTTTTCACAAATATGATTTCTTTGCTTCAAATGTGAGAACTAAAGCCTTCTTTCTACAGGGCAACAATTATCCCTAATGTGAGAAATCACAGGGATTTTAAGATTTTGAGTCTGTAGTTATAGTTATAGTTATTAGAACCTGCATTTCAGTACTTAGTGATAAGCACTGGTCCTATACTTGTGTCTTTCTAATTAAGCTCCCTGGAATCACTGAGGTGCCTCAGAGGTTGGAGGATGGAAAAAATTCCTAGCTCCTTACCCCTGAGGAGATCCACTTTCATCTATTTTCCATAACAGGATTCACTGTTCACTCAGAAGAGAGAGTTCAATTACTTGGTTTCAAATCTGAAAACACCCACCCTCTAACATGCTCATCAAGAATTCACTCCAATAGCAAGCAGGGAAAAGGTTCATTCTGTCCACAGACCTCAAGGCTCCATTTCTAAGAATCCAGTTTAAAGAAATAATAAAATGTATAAACAAAACCCAAAAAGCTATGGCCACAAATATGTTTGCTGCAACATGATTAATAGGGGAAAATGTTCATAAACATCTAAAAAATTTCTGGAGTCCTGGTATGGCTCAGCCTAACTGCACCATATCGTTGGTTCAAATCCATCAGCAATTAAAAAAAAAAAAAAAAAAGGTCTATGAAAGAACAAAACTGAAAAAAAGCAAGGTACAAAATTAACATGTTCACAAAATACCAAATGCACAAGAAAAGAACTCATTTGCAACATGATAAAATAGTATTTAGTGGTTGTGTAAATATGGTGAGATTTGAACACTTTAATTTTAATTATAAGGTTATGTTGATTTTTAATAGGCAAAATTAATTTCCCATTAATAAAACAATATTTAGAGAACACAAACTCACGCCTTACCAACTGGGGCTTTTTTGTTTGAGCTATAGCCAGCTTTCTTGGCAATGTCAAGCAGGCAAACGACTCTCAGTGTAAATGTCACTACCCAGCTTTTTGCATTAAGAACACCAACCTAGAAGTGCTCTTGTCCAGGCCCATCCTCTAGCTGGATCTTTAATCATTTGAATTTCGTCAATCACAGCTACTTCATCTTAAAATAAAAAAGTTATCATGAGCAATACAATAAACTTATGCAATATTACATACTAATTGCAATAGCAAAATTCAACCTTTCATCACTGCCATCATCATCATGTACCTACCAGGTGCTTCTTAAAGGCGTATTCAAGGGCTTTACAACGTAAGTCATTTAACCCACACGACAAACTAAGAAACAGATAGCATCATTGTCTCCATGTGAAGCCCAGAGAAGTCACTTGTCCAAGAAGATACTGCCAAGTGTCAGGATGAAATGCAAACTCACGCTGTTTAGCTCCAAATTCTTAACCCCATACTGCCCGGACCTTAAACGAGTTTACCTGCCCATTCTCTGCAATCTCAGCAGCAGCCCGAGAAGTTCCCTAACAAAAACGAACACAACCGCTAAGTACAAAAAGAAAGGGCTTCCAGGAAGCAGGAGTAGATAGCCCAGTAGTAAATGAAGCATCCCCACCACAGGTGCAGACTGCTGCAGGAAAAGCAGGTGAGCTGGAGGGTGAGTTCCTTAGGTTCCAGCAGTTGTGCTCATTCTTAGGGTTTTAAGATTATTACTGTGGCAAAATTGGAGGCCCCAGCTTATTTTATAACTATAATTATAAAATTGCCAACATGCTTCTAATCATATTCTTTTAGTCTCCATACAAATTACTTATTTTCTTCCCTAAATATTAAAAACAAGAGCATGGTGACTCTGTAGGATAAATGCTGGACTGTGAACCACAAGGTCAGTGGTTCAAGCCCACCACCTGCTTTGCAAGAGAAAGATGAAGTTTTCTGCTCACGCAAAGATGTACAGCCTCGGAAACCCTATACAAGGACGCTATGAGTTGAAACCAACTTGACGGTACTTAACAACAACAACAAAAACAGAAAACTAACTTTATACTGAAAAACCTATCAGATGAAAACCTACTTAATACATCTGGGTATATAATATAAACAAGACTAGAAAAGAAAGGACAGAAGAGAATACCATCTGTCTTTAAACTCCGATGTTCTTTAAATTTTCACAAATTTAAATTACATTTTATAAATGTTTACTATATATTTTATAACAAACTGATTTAGAAAAAAAAAACCCAACTACGTATTTACTTAGAAAGTTAAAATTAACAAGCAAGCTACTGTGGTGTATACTCCCAGTTGTATTTATGTACTCACAGTGCACATGAGTACATGTAAAAACAATAGGAATACAAATATTAAAAAGTCTGGAAATACATACCACTAGGGTTAATACTGATGTGGCACTATAGGATCAGCACTGTTCTGAGACCCACAAGGTCAACAGTTCAAACCCACCAGCTACTCCTAGGAAACCCTATACAGGGTCGATATGAATCAAGAACTGACTCAATGCCACTAACAACAACAGAAGAGTTAATACTGGAGTCCTGGTGTGATGTTGTAGGATAAACACTGGACTGTTAACTTCAAGGTCGGCGGTTCAAACCCACCAGCCACTCCTCGGAAATCCTATGCAGGGCTGCTATGAGTGGGAACCAACTTACAGCATAACAAGAAGATTAAAATGAAGGATCCTTGATGGCACTGTGGGTTAGGCATTGAGCTTCTAACCACAAGTCAGTGGTTCAAATCTACTAGCTGATCCACAGGAAAAGGATAAGGTTGTTTGCTCCTGTAAAGATTTTGTTTCAAACACCGATACGCTGCCACTATGAGCTGTAAGTGACTTGATGGCCGTGGGTTTATTCTGGTTTTAGGGTTAATACCAAGGATCCCTGGTGGCACAAAGGTTAAGCGTTTGGCTACTAACCCAAAGCTGAGTGGTTCAAACCCATACGAGAGGAAAAAAATCTAGCAATCTGCTCTCATAAAGGTTACAGCCTAGGAAACACTGTGGGACAGCTCTACCCTGTCATCCAGGGTGGCTCTGAGTTGGCATTGACGCAAAGGCACACAACAAGACAGCAACAGCAGCGTTAATACTTGGGGATTCTAAATGGATGAGAGGCTGGGAATGTGCATGTTTTTTTTTTTTTAATTCTCTTTGCTTATTTATAAATATTTCTGTATTTTCTATAATAAAAATAAGATTGTTTATATGAGGGGGCTTCAAAACAGCAAAAAATTTAAGTGTTGTGAAGTCAATTCTGACTCAAAACAACCCCAAGTGACAGAGGAAAACTGTCCCACAGCATTTTCTAGGTTGCAATCTTTATGAAAAAATAAATGTGTCTTGGAAGAAGCCAGATTTACTCCTAGAAAGCACGGATGGCGAGACTTCATGTGATGTACTCTGGACATACTGTTAGGAGGGACTGTCTCTGGAGAGTGACATCATGCTTGGTAAAGTACAGAGTCAAAGAAAAAGAGGAAGACCCCCAACAAGATGAACAGACACAATAGGAGCAATGATGGGCTCAAACACGTTCTGTGGTGCACAGGGCACCTATCAACAACCTCTATAGGAGCAGATCACCAAGGCTTTCTCCCATGTAGCCACCGAGTGGGTATGAACCTTTCAGTCGGAACGCTTAACCCACGTGCCACCACGGTTCCTTTTAAGCACCTTAACCATCCTTTAATACAATAAATAATTTAGTCAAAGAAGGAAAACTACAGAACAGTTTAATAAACTTGATCACTATAGATCAATAAGAGTAAACTAAACGTATAAAATATGGAATAAAAAATATTCCAGAACAATACTTACTATATGATAATCATGTTCATGTTTTAAAACATAACAATACATAGTACTAACAAGTGATTTTTCTCAGTAACACAAAAAAAGATAGGAGAAATATACACCAAAAACATGTCAACCCATCAGCTGAGAAGAGTACATACATCAAGGTCAAGACACTGTTGTAAGCAGTAACAGTCATGTGGTCCATCCATAAAGAACTGAAGGTTCTGGGAATTTATCCATGTCCATATAGTCTTTTTTATATTAACTAAAGAAAAATAGGAGTCCTGGTGTGGCACTATAGGACAGACTGTGAACCATAAGGTCAGCAGTTCAAACTCAACAGGTGCTCCTTAGGTATCCCCCTGAACAGAGTCACTATGAGCCTCAACAGCACTTAACAATAAAGAAAAATGGGTGCCCTCTTTTTCATTGTCCTTTCACCTTACCAAGCATAATGTTCTTCTCCGTGCCCTGAGAAGAAAATGGTCTAGTCAAAGCAAAAGCTTACCAGTCAAGTGCAAAGGTCATTGCCTTGATTGTGCTTTGTCTTCAAGATCACACTGGTAAAGCCATGGTTCACTTTCTGTTAAGAATTCTCCCAAGAAATGCTTTAGAATCTTGATCCCACTTGTTTAAAATTTCCACTGAAAGCGCTGTTCCTATCTGCAGCTGATGTAGACACAACAGTTTTGGCTCCCATCGAGCAGAAAGTTTGCTCAACTTCACATTTTCAGTCAGAACTGTGTAAAGTGAAACAACTGAGGTCCCTGCGGTGTTGGCTATTGTTGGTCCTCTTCGTTACAAACTGATGTGGATGGTCTGTCGCCATGGGCTTCATTATCAACAGTCTGTTGTTGCTAAAAGCCATCGAGTTGGTTTTGACTCATAGCAAACCTGTATAGGGTTTCTGAGGAGTGCTTATAGGTTTGAACTGCCAACCTTATGGTTACTAGTCCAGTCCTTCTCCTACACCTCCACATCATGGTCTGGTCCCTTCTTATAACAAGTTATCCAATTGTAAACTGTTGATTTCTTCGGGGCACTGGTTCCATAATTTCGTGCAAAGCATCAATGATTTCACCATTCTTCCCCTTAAACTTCACCATAAATTTGATGTTTGTTCTTGCTTCAATATTAGCAGAATTCATGTTGCTCCTTTAAACTGCTATCTTATCCTTCTTAGTGCCTCTAACAAGAACCTGTTCAAATGTGTTATAACTAGTTACTACGCATTTACTTTGGTACAAAAACTGTTTGAAGTCTATGAATAATTTTTTCATAATACGCATTTTCCATAAAAAATTACTGAAGACCTCCTTGTATTTGTTAATGTTTTTAGTTATTTAGGAAAAAAAAGAGAAAGAACATTCAGAAGCAAGTGTTGTTGTTATATGTTGTCGAGTTGGTTCCAACTCATAGTGACCCTTATAGGGTTTCCAAGGAGTAGCTGGAGGGTTTAAACCGCTGACCTTGTGGTTAGCAATCCAGTGCTTATCCTACAGCGCAACCCCAAAACATTTACTAGTGGTGGCAAATTGTTATGGATTAAATTATATGTCCTCAAAATATGTGTTTGAATCTTAGTCTCTGTACATATGGATGTAATCCAGTTTGGAAACATAGAGCATTGTTAACCAGACCATACCCAAGTAGGGTGGGTTCTAAATCTGATCACTTCTGCTTTATTAAAAGAGCAGATTAGACACAGACACATGAATCATCACACACAGAGACAGATGCCATGTGAGAATCCTCAAGGGCGCGAAGCTACGAACAAGAAAGGCATCAACAAGGTCAACAGCCTTCCTTGGACTTTCAATCTCTTCTGTTGTGATTAAGCACCTTCAAGTCACTTCTGACTTATAGTGACCCTGTACAGGGTTTCCAAGGAGTGGCGGGTGAGTTTGAACTGCCAACCTCGCAATTCAAACCAACCTTGCAGTCCAGTGCTTATCCTACAGTACCACATTAGAATTGTTTTAGAGGCCCCACCTGTGGCATTTGCAATACACTAACAACTAACTGCACTAGTAACTAACACACGGGTACTGGGTATTTGTTGTAAGCTTTCCTCCCTTTTCACAATATTTAAATTGTTTTCAAAATGAAATACATATTTCATAGAGATAAAAAATAAACACTAAACCATACAGTTTTTAAAATGGCATATACATACAAGGAGTTGTAACACTGCACATCTCAACAGTACAAGCAACATGGGCGGCCTGTTTCCCATCTGGTTCTACCGTCACCCGCTCTTCACCAGTTACCAAGTCACATGGCACCCCCTGGGATGACAAACAGAAACCGAGGGTTATTGCTACCCTGGAAAAAAACAGCAAAAATAAATCTGAATGTTTAAGAGAGAATTTTTTCCATTGTCATCAGATTTATTTAACAACTGAAATAAATTTAGCTGTATTCATATTTAACAACTGAAAACAAAAACTAATGTGTTTTTTCCCCCCCCAATATAAAATAAATAAATAAATAAAGCCACTGTCACATAACCTAGATAAGTCTGGAAATATTTTATATGAGCCAAATCTTCAGCTAACAACAACAAAAAGAGAAATTATAGCAATTTTACTATATTACACTAAATTTACTATATTTACTAAATTTAACTTTGCACATCACTGTACTTTCTGAGTTTATAAAAACAAACAATAATTACTTCTATTATTTATTTTTTTTTACTATGTTTTACTGTGAATTATGGGATAGTTTACATAGGTGAACATTAGTTTTACATTTACTTCTATTATTAAAAAAAAAACATTAAAAATAAAATGTAAGAATGTAAAAGCCTTCTGACTGTGGTGGGGACACTCCCTGAACTTACCTGTGTCTGTGAAATTGTCCATAACTTTGGATTTCATTCATTTTACTAGGTACACTTTTTCACTTCTTAACACCTAGTAACCTATATCTAATTATGAGAAACAGCAATATATCCAAACTGAGGGGCAATTTAAGAACTGGACATGTCAGAGCTCTGTTGGCAAAATTTTTCTTTCTAAGAGACACATAAACTAATGGTGCTTCTTACAACTGATGGCTTAAGTTCAATGAAATACAGTCAATTTTTGTTCTAAATGACTAAGTATGACCTTTCCCCTCACTTCTACCTTCACTTCACCCCAAAAAAATATTACAAAAAGGAAGACTGGATATTTGGTAAAACACTGACAGCAGTATTACTCTTTTCAAAGATTTCATGTGCCAGCAATTTTAAAGGACCGCAGTATACTCCGGATTTTGCTGACAAGTATTTCTGGATCGCATGATGAGTCTTTCCACTGTTGGTGGGGCCCGAATGGAAGATTATCTTCCGTCGCATGGCTCTGGCATCTGGGTACCTAAAACATGAGCAGAAAAACAGCTTCATTCCATCAATGTTAAATCCACCCCGGCAAAGCTGTGAACTGAAGAAAAACTCCAAACAAGATGCCCTCTTAACATTCACAAGATAGCGAGTTTATTTGAAAAATTAAACAGCAGGTTTCACATTCACATTAAAATAATGACTGGTTTCCAAAACTAGCATCTACTAACTATCCTTGAGACAGAAAACACAAATGCATATGAAGTTCTTGGATATTTTTACCACTGTAAAAATCCCTTAACTGCAGAAGTTCTTTAAAATAAGTTTAAACCACTATCAACAACAAAAATACATTCACATCATTCAGATTTCTGAATTTCAGGGTAAATATAAAGACTAAGTCTTCCATTTCTGGCCATGTGAATAAATGGTAGTGGATTTACCACCCCCAGTCCCCACCATACACAAATACAAAACTAGACAAATGTATGTGTCAACTATTGTGGAGTATAGACAACTGACAGTGTAGAACTGTCCCTGAAGACTTGAGATGAGCTCTTGTTGTTGTTGTTAAGTGCCGTCGAGTCGGTTCCGACTCATAGCGACCCTGTACAGGGTTTCCGAGGGTGTAAATCTTTACGGGAGTAGAAAGCCTCATCTTTCTCCCGCAGAGCAGCTGTAGTTTCAAACTGCTGACCTTAAGGTTCACAGCCCGATTCGTAACCACTACGCTACCAGAGAGATGAGCTGTAGTTCACCTCAAAAGGGCAAAGAGTGGTAGGATCCAAGGAGAATACCACAGTCCTACCCACAGTCCTAATGAGTTCAGTGCTGAGGAATCGGTGGGAACTGGAAGAGAAGAAAGGGTACATGGAGAGAGAGCCCTGAAGGATGTGTGTGGATTCCATGTGGTCCTGGGGCTCGGCTAACACGTACGGCAAGATTTGGAGAGTCCTAGCAGAAAACAGCTTGTCAAGGAATTAAGAGCGTAAGTCTCAAAGAGATCACCAAGTGCTAAGAGATGTGGGAGTTCCAACCAGCTGAGGCACCAAACAGGCCATATGTTAAGGACGACAGTCTAATATAAGGGCACTTCTAGATCTACTTGTTTTGTTGTTATGACCCTGTATAGGGTTTCCAAGGCTGTAAATCTTTACGGACACAGAAAGCCTCATCTTTCTCCTGCAAAGCTCATCCCCTCCTCCCTGGAAGCCTGACCAAGGACAAGGGGAACCACTAATAAAGTATCAACCAGAATTACTGGCCACTTTTCCTAGACTCCTTACCTGCCTATTTTTCTAAGAAAAACAATATTAGATGCCTTACAATTGATCATCCCACATATAAATAAAAAAAACATAATTATGAGTAGTCTCACTAGGCAAGCAAACATATCAGAGCCACAAATGAAGAAACTAACCAGTTTGGTGGTATTCTTAAGTCACTGATTTTCCGCAGATCATCCTTACATTCCAACACAGGAAATATCTGTTTCGCATGTCTCAAGAAAAATGGAAATATATCATCCACATGAGCTGGAAAATAAAACGCTGTGTTACCATGTGCAATCTGTATTTCATCCCAAACGGAATCATTTTCTGAGTAAACTAAGTGAGGGTGACATTGTCAGTCCTGAAAGAGGCAGCCCTATCCTTCACAGGAATCTTCCTCTGTCATTTCTATTTTCCACGAACACAGAAAACTGGCAGCTAACCACCATATCAAGTCAACAAAGGTAAAATGTTAAATTGAAAATAAAGAACTCACAAATAACATTAGAAAGAAAGTGGTGATAAGAAAAGAAATGCAGGTCCAAACATCTTGAACATTTAAGTGTGTAACCATTTTAAAACATCTAATGTTTCTACATTTTTTTGTGATTTTACAAACATAAACATGAAAGTAAACTGACTGTTTAGTAAGAATTCTCCACACCATCATGAGTCAAGGGTGAGCCATGTCCCTTCTGCTTCGTATTCAAGTTCTTTCTTGGGCACAGCATAAAAGTCTAATAGTCCATAGTGCCAGGCACAGGGTAAAAGTCAAATAGTCAAATACATTTATTAAATATAACTAAAGTCAAACTGCTTTTGGAAGTAAAAGAATTACTTTTTTTTTTCCCCTTCTTTTAAAAGAGCTTTATCCTGGTATGAGGGACAAAGAAACCAGAGGCCAAAGCAGACTGAATCTGCTAAGGACTAATTTTATCTCGTCTGTGAGCTCATTTCACTGGGGTCTCATTAATGCACAGTGAAGAACAGATGACGGTAGATCAAGGACCTCACCTTTTTCAAGTATGGGAAATTCGGTGATTTACCAACAAGCTCAGAGATCAACTACAAAAAGCAAAAGGACCTAGAAGGTTTCCTATCAAAGCACTAAATTATTTAAAGAGGATCTTACGAGGACCTGTTCTATCTAAATAAATAAGTCCCTCTCTGAGAAGTAAATGGAAAGAGCCCTGGTGGCGCACAGATTTAGCATGTGGAGGAGAACTGAGAGGTTGGTGGTTTGAACCCACCCGGTCACTCCATAGGTCTGCTTCGGTAAAGATTTATAGCCTTGGAAACACTATGGAGCAGTTCTCCATGCATCAGAATCAACCTGACAGCAACGGATTTGGCTTTTGGTTTAGAGAAATGAAGAGGATACAAAGCAAAAAACAAAAATTATGTTCAACAGGATTAAAAAACAACTCAACACACTTGCCTGCACTGAAACAAATATCATTCAGAACAATGTGGATGTCCACATCCAGAGACTGAGACTGCAGGATATAATTTCGGAAGCTTATGAAAGCTTGGTGGAAGAGACGAGCTGTGTAAACACAAAAGCACAATCAGCAGAGCTAAGCTTTCATCAAAATGTAAACAGCACACGTACACACTAAACAAATCATTAAAAGAGTCATTTATAAAAAAATTTATAAGACACTTGAAAACATTATTTCCTTACATTGAAGTAAGTGTTACATGTTGGGAAGAGGGGAGATAACTGGAAAAAATACTTTAAAGCATATTTTTAGAAATATTCAGCTTAAAGAGATGACATTTTAGCAGAAATGTGCCTTAATGATATGTTTTTAGTCTTTCCACAGATCAGAAATTAATCAAAAATACTAAAATCCCATTTTCTAATATAAAATTTCTGACATGCAATTTTAGAGTGTTTGTGGTTTCAAATTCACTAGTACAAGAGAGGCTGGTGGAGTCCTGGGGCGACACTAGGATAAAGCACTGGACCACAAGGTTGGCAGTTCAAACTCACCAGCTGCTCCTTGGAAACCCTGTACAGAGTTGCTATGAGTCAGAACCAACTCAATGGCACTTAACAATAACAACAACAGCCTTTCTCACAACAGGAAAGGGTAGTGGTGGTGGTAGTGTGTTTAGCTGAGTTGGTTTCAACTGATAGCGACCCTGTCCAGGGTTTCTGAGGAGAGGAAAGGGTAAGGAACTGAGATATTTCATCATTGTTCAAAAGACGTAAGGTTTCCCCCAACAAAATTACGGAGGTGGACTCACAATTCCCACTTTTGTTTACCCACCTCCAGGTCTATGCAGACTCTGGCAATGACGACTCCCCTGTGCCTGATTCAGAGGTCAGTGTCCTTCCAAGGCAGAATGCAAAGGTCTAGGATATGTCTCAAAACTCCAGACCACAAACAGGGTCCCACACAGTCCCAACAAAGATGTACTCAAGAAGAGATTTCTAAAGCCTTACCATCAAGTCCATAATCAGCAGCCAGTTTCTGAATTTCTTTCCTCTTGTAAAACTTGTCTAAGTTCTTTTTCACTTCATCTGTAAGAAGCATATCAAATTACATTTGTTCCTTATCTCAGATGGAGAAGTAACATATTTTCACACAGACACATGGCCAACACTCATTGAAGAAAAGGCAAAAGAAACATTTAAAGCAGTAATCTACTGAGTGCTGCAAAACCTGAGGGTTTTTTGGTTGCTCATAGCTCTTTATGGGTTAACAGTGTGAGAAGTGAGGCATGTCTATGTCATATAATGCAAAATCCCTGTCATCTTGCAAGGAATGAGCAAGGGCCATAGGATTAGCACAAGAGTCCCTAATCTCTAAATAACTGTGTTGTTTTGTTTAGTCATTCTGAACATTAAATAACTGCTAAACTGCATTCAGAAAGACAAACAAGAACATGGTGCTGTATGCAAATTATGAAAGGAGCATCCTGGGTTCATCTTTAGTTTGAGTTGATATTACAGAGAACAGATTACGCTTGTTTTGTTCTAGAGGACAAAACTAAAGTGAGTTAGAGGTGAAGCAGATTTCAGTGGACTCTATAGAACTTCCTAACAATTGTTACGTGCCGTCAGTCATAGTGATCCCGTATAGGGTTTCTGAGAAGCAGTTGGTGAGTTTCAACTGCCAACCTTGTGGTCCAGGGCTAATCCCACAATGCCGCCCCAAGAGTCCCACATTAGAACAGTAAGAAAGGGTTGCCTCAGGTCACAGGAAGTACGCAATGTGTTAGGTGACTATTTCAAGAGTCAAGAAGCAATTCAATCACTCTGAGATCAAACCAAAGTTGTCCATGCTACAATACGACTACTGTGTTATTCTGCAATGATGGACACTTTGCTGATCCATTCACATTGCATTTCTGAGATGGTAAGCCACAACTGAGGCTGTAATCTTTGCCCAAAACAACACCAACTATATTTTCACACAGCCACACATGCACAACACTCACTGAAGAAATGAAGTCTGAACAAAGCTTCCCTTTAACAAAACTTCATATTGTATGAGGGACTTTCAAAATCACTGATTTAGCAGCTACATTTGACCACAACAAAATAGGATTCTTGAGAAAATTTCTGACTTATAAAATCAAAAGATAGATCACATGCCTTTAAATTAATCCATTTTTGATGACTAACACTCTAGTGTCATAAAAGAATGGCAGTGGTTACATGCAGTGGGTCGATTTGGACTCAAAGCAGCCCTGCATACGGTTTCCAAGGCTGTAAAATCTTTACAGGAGCAGAAAGCCTCATCTTTCTCCCATGGAACGGCTGGTAGTTTCACACTGCTAACCTTGAGGTTACCACTATGCTACCAGAGCTCCTTCATGTAATAATCATGCTACTTTATTCAAGTTAGAATTCTTCAAAAATGTGAGTTTTCTCATTATGCTAAGTGAAAGAAACCAGACTCAGAAGACTACCTATTAAATACTATTCATGTGAAATGTCCAGAATTGGCAAATCTAGAAAATGCAAAGTAGAGTAACAGTTGCCTAGGGCTGAAGAGGAGTCCTGGTGTGATGCTGTAGGATAAACAGCAGTGCAAACCCACCAGATGCTCCTTGGGAACCCTATACAGAGTTGCTAACAGTCAGAACCGACTCAACAGCACTTAATAAAAACAATAGGACTGAAGAGAGAAGGGAGCAAGGGGTGACTGCTAATGAGCATAGAGTTTCTTTCTGGGGTAATGAAAACATTTTCAAAATTAGATTATGATGAAACACACCCTGCAAATATACTACAAATCACTGAATTACACACTTTTTAAATAGGCGATCTTTGTGATATGTAACTTATAATAAAGCTATTTTAAATAAATCACAAAAAGTATGATTTCTCTGTATGAAAATTTATTAAAATAGCATTTAGGAAAAAGAAATATTTTAAAAACAATAACAAAAGTACATACAAACTTGGAGACTTCCAGCAAGATGGCTGACTAGGCAGACCACTACACAACTCTATAAAAAAGATACAAGAGACCAAATGAAAATGACACACATGAAATTTTGAGGCCCCTGAACTTCAGAGGAAAGGTGAGAGAACTGGACTGAATACTGGCTGGGAGGAGAAGCTGAGGAGGGGCAGAGAGACTGACTGGTGAATGGCCAGCCAGACATGGTGCTACCATCTTGTGAGAGCTTTGGCAACAGAAGGTGACCTGGCAGAGCAGATTCACATAGGTACAGGAAAAGGTATGATTCTTTCTTATTTCCCATGTTCCCCTGGCAATCAGAGGGGTGGGCCAGTTCCCAACCTCATCTACCTCCAGTGAGTTAGAACCGCATGGTTGGGAGTCAACAGTGTGACGTGGGGGGCTGGCTGTGCCACTTTGGTGCCTAGATTCAGGCAGGTTCAGCTCCAGAACTGCAGTAACTGTAAAACCACCAGACCAGCACTAACTAGTCACCCTGCCCTCAGCTGCCCTGTGGTCCTAACAGACACTAAAACCAGCTCCACCAAGGACCTTCATGTTCAAGGACTGAGTGCCCTGAACATAGGAAACACGGTGGCTGAAAGGAAGTCTGCTGCCACATTCCTCCCACACCCACCTCGGGAGCTCCCTGGCTTTCAGGACTCCGCCACCCTGGATTTCTCCTCTCTGGGTCTAATAGCTGCACTGTTGTTTTGGGTTTTTTTGTTTGTTTGTTTCATTGTTTATTCTTTCTCCTTCTAGTTCCATTCTCTTGAATTTTATCTTACCAATGCTTTTGATTTCCCTTCTTTTCTTCTATTTCTCCTCTTTTTCCCTTTTGATCTTTCTTTACTATCTTTCTTTAATTTTCTCTCTTTTATAGCTCCATTTTCCTGTTCTGCTTTGTTTTTTAACTTTTTATTGTAAACTGAGTGAAAGTTTGCTTCACTACATAGTTGCAATCCCCTCCACGCACCAACAGTTAACAGTATTTACTTCTATTTACTTTAACTACTGCATTCCTCCCTGTGTTTCCCGCTACCATCTTTCCTCTGCTAACCTCTTTCTGGGGTAATGAAAATGTTTTAAAACTAGATTAAGATGTTGCACACCCGGCCCTGTCACCCATGTTAACATGTGTCTACTGTCTTGTTATGTGCTGTGGAGTCAATTCCGATTCATAGCGACCCTGTACAGGGTTTCTGAGGCTGTAAATCTTTATGGGAGCAGAAAGCCTCATCTTTCTCCCGCGGAGCAGCTAGTAGTTTTGAACTGCTGACCTTGCAGTTTGCAGCCCAATTCGTAACCACTACGCTACCAGAGCTCCGTCTGTCTAGCCTGTGAATAATTTTCCCTCCCCTCATAATCTACCCCATTAATCATCATGGGTTAATGGCTCCTTTTATTAACAAAAGCTTTTTCAAAACATTTTTTACAACATTGGTCTCATTTAATATTTGTCCTTAACTAATTTCACTCAACATAATGTCCTCCAGGTTCAACCACGTTGTGAAGTGTTTCACAGATTCATCATTATTCTTCAACTTTTTGTAGTATTCCCTTGTGTGTACTTACCAGTTTGTTCAACCATTCTTTTGTTGATGGGCATTTAGGCTGTCTCCATCTTTTTGATGTGTCAATTGTAGACAGCATATTGAAAGATTGTTTTCATAGCCATTCTGCTCTTTATGTCTCTTGACTGGTACAGTTAATGAATTTACAGCTAGTGTAATTAGCAATAGGTATGAACTGACTATTGTCATTTTTCTGTGCATGTGTGTTTTTGTGGTGCTGCTGGATTTTTCATTCCATATAATTTTCTATGCTGAGTTCATTTTGTTTGTGGGTTTTCTTGTCACTTTTATTCTGTTGTATTAATGTTTACTAAATCTTTCTGATTTCCCCCTTTTTTTTTATTTTGATGTGCAGGTATATTTTTCTTTGAGGTTACCCTGTAATTTGTTAATTTTTTCCCAGCTTAAAACAGTCTGTTTTATTCTGAAATCTACTTAACTTCTTTCCCATTTGGAAGTTCTGTATGTACACTATTCCTTCTTCTTGCTTTGTAGCTGACTTCAGTATATATTGATAGCTCTGTTCCCTTACTTTCAGTCTTGTAAGTTTGTTTTACTACAAATACATCTATATATGGAATCCAGATCATTAAACATTAAGATCTCAGAAATGGACAATACATTGAAAGGACAAAGGTGTAGACATAAAGCAACAGAAGCCTAAATTAGTGAGCTTGTAGATAAATCTCACAATACTAGTAAGCTAGAAAACCAATCAGAAAAAAGAATTAAAAAATCTGAAGAAAACCTAAGAGTTATGTGGGGCAACATGAACAGGAACAACTTATGGGTGATCAGAAGTCCAGAATAGGAAATGACAATAAAAAGCAGAGAGTAAATTGTCAAAGAGTTGTTGGAAGAAAACTTCCCTAACATCATGAAATATGAGAAGATAAGCATACAAGGAGCTGAACGAGCCCCAAACAGGACAGATCCCCAAAGAAAATCACCAAAACCTTCCAAAATAAAAGACAAAGAAAATCCTGAGAGCAGCTTGGGGGAAATGATGTTGCCTAAAAAGGAGAACCAATAAGACTAAGCTCTGATTTCTCAGCAGCAACCATGCAGGCAAGAAAGCAGTGGGATACCCATACAAAATTCTGAAAAAAAAGATTGCCAGCCAAGAACCATATATCCAGCACATCTGTCCCTGCAATATAATGGTCAAATTGGGACATTTCCTGATAAACAGAAATTAAAGGAATTTGTAATGACCAGACCAAATTTATAAAAAAAAATAAAGGGTGTTTCTTGGACTGAGAATCAACAACAGCCAACAAGAACATAAGATTATCATACATGACAACACAGAGAACTCAATCCAGATACAGAAGTATTTAAAGTAAAACAAACAAACCGACAAGATTAAAAATAGGGAACCAATTTATACTGAAGCAAAAAGAGGGAACAGTATAGATACAGAACTTCAAAATGGTAAGGATGTTAAATAAATTTCAAGATAAAACAGACTGTTTTAAATAGGGGGGAATATTAGTAAATTATAAGATAACTTGTAATTTACTCTGAAAATTAAT